GCTCAGCTCTGTTCAAACGAAAATGTTAAAATTTCTCCTGCCGAGCTGGCAGTGGTGAAACTGGCTCATCTCGACCGAGTTAGGCAAAAATATTTTTACGATCTCCGYGCCGTGAACCTTCTCTATGATAGACGTTCTCTGTCTATATTATACGTTCTCTGTGCTTGTCTAACAACAATCAAAAGACAATTTAAATTTACATGCAGGAGTTTGAAATTATAAAGTAGGTCGTAAAAATTAAAAATTAGATTATTTTTTCCTCCTTCTCAGACGTAAAAGCTATAAATTAGCAACTTCATAACGATTAATGAGGTCTGCCAGAGACCCACTGTTCAACGCACTCAAATGAAATTCCAACATTTAAAAACTGTTTATAAAAATATTTATTTGAGTTATAAAGATTTTGTGTTTTTCATGGCTTTAGATAGCAATACATTTAAGTAGTATATAAGCATATAATTTAATCATATTACACATATACACAGAGCATAAGTAATAATAAGCTGTATAGTTCCGCTTATTTCCAATATCACCTACATACATATTTACATAGATTTCAATATTGTGGAACTTGCAAACTTCCGCTGCTCGCCGAAGTCCGACCATTCATCGACCAACTCGAATCGAAACCATAAGCACAATCCGAGTCCGAATCCACTAGCGTATCTGACGGAACGCGACCAAGAGGCGCACGTTTTTGATTTGGTGTTGTTGGCATACTGCTGTAGCCAGCTATTAAATTCGTACTCGAGTTCGATGATGAAATGGAATCACGTGGTGAATCTGTTACAAACGACGATGGCACCGATGAGCGTATTGCCGGTGTTGTCATGGATTTTTGCCTCTTTTTTACAAGCGTATCGATGGTTTTTGGAGGTGGCATCATTTCTTTGTCATCTTGGTCATCTTCAACATGATGTTGTATGTTGTCTGCCGAACCCCATGATTTATGTAATTTCTCAAATTTCCTCTGTAAACTATTCATGTTGACCGGAACGCTGGCCCGTGAGCTTATATTATGCTTTTTGTTATTACTTTTATTACTAGATTTGCTGCTAATCGTATCAGTGTCTAAGGGTTTGGTCTTGATCGTCATCGGATT